ATTTGATCTAAACATTGGTAGATTTTTCCAAAGACCACAAATTCCAATCATCTTTACTTGAATTTTATAAGTTTATTTATTCCCTACACAAACAAAACGCAACCTTGAAAACGTCGAGACTGTTAATCCAAGCCCAAAGATCTTCAAGTAATTTAATGTGTACAAGTACAAACTTTGACTAAGATTTAACGACAAAACAGAAATCAGAACGACATATTTCTCTCATGAACACTCTAACAGAATGTTTTGATCTTCTGTGAAGAGCACTTTGAGAAACTACTATACCTTTAATTAACGTATTGACCATTAAACTTCGAATTCTATTGTGTCTGGGTAACGCGGAATCTGGAACGCTCGCAATGAAAGAATAACTTTCATGATCAGACAATATGAAAACTGCAGACCGAGCAAAAGCTTTTCAAACCTAAAAGTTATCACATAAGCTTAAGTGCAGAACTATCTTAGTATAGCAGAATTCAGAGTTACCCGATATCGTACAAATTAGCTTATTTTTTTTTCTGTTAACGCTAAATAATCAAGTTAAACTAGGAAGTTTTAGTTAACTGAATCTTTGCGCATCAAGACACCGCTCGAACACATTGAATGAACAGCTAAAGTAAAACGAATGCCTCAAGTTTTCTTCGTAAATCTAAATCACTCTATTGTCGCCAGGAAAAATAAGTATTTTACGTTACACCGGTTACCTGAATGATAACATCACTGCCTTCACAACCGATAGTTGTAAGCGGTTGCCGGAGTTGATGAACACAACTTCCATCTCTTGAACGTAGACACGCTTTCATTGATGAAATGATTATGTCATTACAACTAATCTGTTATTTCTGCTTGGAAAATAATTCCGTTCAGAACGATCATAAACATTCGATCCTTCCCGCTGGAATTCCAATATGGCCGAACGTGTTCGCGTTCAGCAGTTGCTATGGTGACGTGGCTTTCAAATCCAATCAAAATTCCGAAAATTTTGGAACTGAATTGAGTGGAATGGAAATTTCGGGGGAAAAATGGATTCTGACAGTCTGTATAAGCTTGGGGAGCGGTATTGTCAGGAGTCTTCAAATAGTAAAGAGGCTTCTGCGTCGAAATACATGGGAAGCACTTGAGCGCGAAATCGCTCGACATCGCTTGCTTTGTCTTTATTCGTCCTGTTCTAGCTCTGTTTATTTTCCTTAGGTAGCATTCAGTATTTAGAAAGGGGGTGGACCAGAAGAATTGAGGGGAGGGTCATTAATATTTTACCCACCCCAAAAGGGGGGGGGGTCGTCATAAATTTGACCCAACATAGAGGGGGTTACTTCATCGTTTTACATATTATAGTAAAGTCTGCATATGAAGAATACAAAAGCAGAAACCGACACAACGTAGAATGATTTTTTGAAGGTGTACTATATTTCGGCTGGCCAAACCAGCCTTCTTCAGGTACAATGAGAATTTTACATTGGGGCGTGTTTTATGTAGCATATTTTGGTAATACCGGAAATACGTAAAACTAAATGACAGTGTAAATTAAAGATAAGCATACGGTAAAATAAAAGAACATAATAAAAGAACATAATAAAAGGAAACCAATTAATATGTTTCTTCACGGATGTTCAGACCATCAGGATCAATTTTTCTGCCTTTTTGAATTAAAAAAGCTTCCCTGACCTTACGGATAGAGTCNATTTGTTGTTAGGGTTATCTATGGTACGGCGGTGCTCATTAAATCGGTCTTTTAATCGTCGTTTCGTCTCCCCTATGTATTGTAAATTACAGCGGTTACATTGAATCATGTGGATGATGTTTTTAGTGTCAGAGGTCAGGTTAGATTTTATGGGGTGCGTTTCCCTGTTAGAAAAGAAGGTATATGCAGTAAGTCGGTGAGAAGTGTAGGGACAAGTAGCACAGTTTTTGCCACAACGGAAAGAGCCAGAAGGAAGTTGGCGATTGGAAGAATTAGAAGAGAGTTTAGCTGTAACTAGTAAGTCACGAAGATTAGGGGAACGTCTGAAGGCCACAACAGGCAAATGCTCAAAAACGTTTTTGCAGCGGTTAGAAGAGAGCAACCATATTGTAAAGTTTTTTGATGATGTTAGAGATGTGAGGAGGTGATGGATTGAAGGTAGTTATAAATGTTTAAAACGTTTAGGTTTGTTGACGTCTTTGGTTTGTAAAGTGAGTCTGTAGGGGATGTCGGCGGCTCGTCGTATTTGTTTGGTGACGAAGTTACGGTTGTATAACCTCGTTTGAGGAGGTAAGTGGTAAGTTGAGCCGCGGGAGTATTAAACGTGGCGTCGGTAGAACAGATACGTCGTAAGCGGAGTGCTAGCCTGAAAGGAATGGCTTT